GTCGATTGACTTGTGCGTGTGACCATCCGCCAATGTGACTTGCGTGGGCTGGGACTTCCTTCGGACTCGTGGGCCAAGGTCGGCGCGTACCATGAAGTCCTGACTCATGTAGTTGCGAGAGAGATGCTCCGGAATCAATCAAAGCGCTGCAGGTCGCCTCTCCGATCTGAATGCGTACATATAGCAATGGTGCGTCGATGTCATCGTACCGTTGCGTCTTGAACTCGGGGTCGATCTTCGCAATGTAGGCGTGAAGGTCGACAACCTCTACTCCGGCGTCCATCAACGGAGTCGGTACTGCAGTGTGCAAGTAATCCTGCAATTATGCTTTGAGCACGTTGCAATACGGTTTCGACAATTGACCGGACCGGGGCAGGGGCATCCATTGGAAGTCCTCAAAAGTCAACGGGTCGAGTTCTTCAAGACTTGACCATGACGTTGAATCCCCGGTGGTAGATGACGACGAAGCTGCCGAATCGGTTGCCGATGGTGATGAAACCGTGCATGCGGTGGACTGTTGCACGTGGAGCGGTTGGTCCAGCGGTGGGACCAAGTGGACAACATAATCCTCATAAGTATACCGAGGACTTGCGACATGCGCATCCTCCCCAGATGTGTAGGAGGCCGCTAGCAAGGCGGCCGAATCTGGCGGAGTGAGAGGTGGAGTCGCCTCACCTCCTGCGCAACTCAGTTTCCCGAGTTAGGACGAGGCCGCACATCCTCCTTGGCCTGATCCTGGCACATGGAGGTCTTGTGCTTGGTGCTGTTGCACCAGTAACAGCAGCCGTAACGGTTGTGGTACTTGTACTCGGCCTCGGTCAAGCCGAACTTGACCCATGGTGGTGCTGGTTGTCCGTTTCCGACCTGCGATGCTGGTTTCGCCTTCCCGTTCACTTGGGGCTTGTTGCTTCGCGGCTGGACAGCAGCCACCTGATCTCCCTCACGTGATGCTGGAGTGGCTGCTGGGTCTTCTCCACTGTCCGATTGGACTGCAGCGAACTGCTGCTGTCGCGGACCATTTCTTACCTTCTCCACAGAGGTTGGCTGCCACGTGGACTTCTCGTGTGCAGCTGACCTGTTGGTCTTGATGATCTCTCTTGCCTTGTCGATGATTTCGGCGAAAAATGCATACTACTCGCGATCACCAAGTGTCTGGCTCAGCGCAGCGCATGACCTGTTATAGAACTCACGGCGTAGATGCGTGAATGGTAAGTCCAGATCGGGCACTGTCGCGATCTTCTGCTATTCCGTGAGCCAGTCACGTGTTGCTGTGTTGCCCGGAGACATGGTGAAGAGACGGTTGATGGCTAGTGATGCTGCGTCGTCGACGATGAACCGCTTCTTCCACAGCCGTGTCAACTCTTCCCATGTGATCTTGTCCTTCAGATCGGCGACGTCGACGCTGTGGGTGGCTGCCAGGTGAGTCAACCAGATCTGGCATCCGCCCTTTGAGTTCATGAACAGGGCGCCGATGTACGCGTGCTTGGCGACAGGCAGAATCCGCAGTTGCGTCGTGAAAGCTTCCCACCAAAGGACCGGATCCTAATGTGTGTAGTCGTCGAACTTCTCCAGTTGGAAGGTTGGCATCTTGTATTGCTTTGGATTGCCATCCGTGTTCGTCGGCTGCAGTTGCTGGATCTCGGTCTTCAACGTGTCCAGTTGGCTGCTGATGGTGGTTGGCGCCGCGAAGGTGCTGATGTCGCCCAGCATTGCCACCACGTGGTCAACGCGTTCCTCCAGTTGGCGGCTAGAGGGTGCACTGCTGGAAGCCCCAGCATCTGGTCCTGGTACAGCCTGTTCCAGGTCCAGTACACGGGAATTGAGTGCCCGTGTTGCATCCTCGTAGCTCTGCACCATCCGGCGGAGGTTCGCCAACTCGTGGTGTTGCGTCTTCAGATCCTGGTATTGTTGCTGCAGTTCCTGGTTCTGTCTCTCCAACTCGGACCGTTGGTAGTTGCAAGCATACAACAACCGTGTCACGAGATTGGAGAGGAACTCCTTATGCTGCTCTTTCGGTGTTGCGTCGTCGCCGTTCGGTTCAAAGTGCCAGAACTTGAGTCTCTCGATGTTGTTGGCTTCATGCCGCTGCAGCAGATCCTGGGTTTCATTGCGGCGAGCCTTGGCATCTGCGTCTGCTTCGGCCTGTAGCCGCAGCTTCTCTGTTGTTGCCGCTTCTTCAGCCTGTAGCTGGTCAGCCTTGGCTGCCAGCAAGCGTTGTTCCTCAACCTCGATTAAAGCGAGCTGAGCCTGGAAGCACTTTTTGTAGTCGGCAATGGGCTCATTGGCCAGTTGGCCTGGCAGGCCCATTGCTGGACCTGTCATGCTGACGTGGCACTGTGTCTGGCGTGGCATTGTGTCTGACATGGCACTGTGTCTGACGTGGCACTGCTTACGTGGCACTGTGTCTGACATGGCACTGCTAGCGTGGCACTGTAGCTGACGTGTCACTGTTGACGTGGCCTGCTGACGTGTCATTGTAGCTGACGTGTCACTGTGTCTGACGTGGCACTGCTGACGTGTCACTGTAGTTGACGTGTCACTGTTGATGTGGCCTACTAATGTGTCACTGTGTTGACGTGTCACTGTACCAACCCGGAAATGCATGCAAAGGGGTGGGTGGGAGGGAAAAAATGCAGGTAGGAAACCAACCCAACAATACTTTCCTCCGGCCCTAATCAACAGATAAAATCAATAAAATAAAAATAAAGAGGACTACTTCCTTTTTTTTTTTTTTTTTTTTGAATATCTGTCGATCTATTACGAGTAGGACATGTCAGAAGAGTACTATGAACGAGATCTAGGCTAGGTTCCGCAAAGTTTCAACTTTTACAAACTGCGATCTTGAAAAAAAAAAATTTGCGAAATGGAGTAAAGATGCGATCTTCAGAAAAGAACGAAATCCAGTTTCTGAGAATATGGCAACCTCCGAATATGCCTAACGCAATATTGGTAGGCTTCGCAAGATTTTGGTTTTCAAAAAAAATTTGCGAGATAGAATGGAAATTCGATTTTCAGAAAAGAATAATTCCAGTTTCCGAGAATATGACCACTTCTATCGTTATCCCAATATGCCTAGAGAACGAAATACTAACTTCAGAAATTTCAGCTATGTATGCGAAATATCAGAGAAACGAAAAGCTACTATTGGGAATTTTTAGACAAAACGAAATGCGATTTATCAGAAATTTTCAAATATTTGTTATGTAAAAACGAACTACTAATATCAAAAACTTTCAGGTAAAACGAAATGCGAATATCAGAAATTTTCAGATAATTGTTGCGAGGAAAAAAAAAAAAAAATTCAGAGATTTGACGAAGTCCTACTTGCGTTACTAATGAGTGATCAATAGATCAGCAAGCTGGCTTCTTGATTGAGCGGGTCCTCTAAATGAGAGGTCCGCTCCGATACCAAACTGTTGCATAGTGTAACATGCAGACCAGAACAAGAACCAACCTCTCAATACAAAGTACAAGATAACACAACGGAAGACTTAGATACCAGTGATCCGAACAATCAATATTGCAATGCAGTACTGAACATACATCATCATCATCGTTACATGGTGTGAATGGGGTCTGGCACTTCACACAGGAAGACTGCACCAGCCCCTACCATACACAGACGAAGAAGAAGGGGTTAGACGAAGAGGAGGGGAAAGATGGGAATGTCGTCAACACCAAGTCTTCGGCACAGGCCCAAATAGTCCCTCGTCGAAATGTCTGAATCCCAAATGTAAAGTCTGGATCCAATGTCGTCAAGTCTCAAGTCACAACTCTGTCTCTCTCTGTCGTAGTCTGAGAAGTCAGGTGGCGAGAGGCTGAGAAGAGATGGTGGACTTAGAAGAGGAAGAAGAAAAACTCTCTCTCTCTCTCTCTCTGTGTCCTGTACTAACCTGTGAAGTTGGTGCCTTGATGCAGGTACCTCGCAGATGGAGCTGGAGCGATGGCGCCACAGGTAAGTGCCACTAGCCTCCGCCAGTATCTCTCCCAACTCTACGATCTACCACCTACCAGCGCCCAGACAAGTGGAGGAAGCAGATGGCAGCCGCGGAAATGAAAGCTAGTGCAGAGAAGAAGTCTAGATTCCAAGACAGAAAACCTCTTTGTGTTTGAATGAGAAACAGGAGAAGAGCAAGAAGGTCAACAAGCTGCCGGAGCAGAAAAGGAGAGTGGTCGTATCAAATGAATCTAGCGAGACTACGAGCACGAATTAAGAGAATTCATCACCAGATGACGAAGAGGACTCGGAGACTGCATACAAGAAGGTCATAGGTATGTGCAGACATGAGAAGTGGCAAGGGGGGAAGAAGTCAAAGAAATGGAAGGTCTCCAGATGAGAAAAAGGAATCGAGTGAATGCTCACAAGTCGCTCGAGCTACACCCCAAGGACGAGGCGCCCACACAGGAAGGTTTGGAAGAGCCGAGGACACCAACGGAGGACGGATATAAAGGTATACCGGCGGGATGTTCCGCCAAGGCTTAATGGACTATACCTTATCAGTCCTCCAGGATCTCTCAAGTAAGAAGGCGGGGGAGCTTTGTAACATGTGTGAGAGGAAGGGCATCAACTCCACTAGGAAGGACGAGATGATCAGCGATTTGGTGTGACGCCAGAATGACTTGGCATACGACGGCGAAGGAAACTATACGCCTGGATGGAGAGAAGAAGACGCTTGATGGATCGAGGACTAGGTTCCCTCCTAAAGGATCGAGGTCGAGGATGAAGACCCGTGCTAACAGTGAATTTGTCCCACGTCGACAGCTCAGAATCTTTGATCTGCTCCTGCGGCGATTAAAGAGCTTTGGGAAACCCTCAAACTACTGATCGAGTACATATGGGAGGGGACTATGCAGGGGTGAGGGGCTCTCAATTCAAGACCGGTGTCAGCGGGAGATGGCGGGTGGTGGTCAAGGTACCCTTTAGTAGGAGGATTAAGACGACAGAGGTAAAGAGGGTGACTGAGACAATGGTGGCAACGGGGGTCCGCGATGTATCAGTAGGCAATCTCATTAGGAGTAAAATTAGAGTGTGACGAAGAGAAAAAGACGGTAGGAGAGGTTCTACATTACCACAGGAAACCTGCACACATACTAGACATAGGATGCACCTGGAGTCTTTTTCTGGTTGGCATTCTAGATTAGCTAATTCCCTAATTGAGTCTTCTTGTGCAATGGCCAGGTTGAGTTGGCGCCAGAACGACGCTAGCCGACGCTGGGGCAGTGCCCTGTAACCTGCTTATGTAGGAGTTTGAGGCTTTGTACAGAGGTCTTAAATTGCCGAGGGAGGAAGGCAATCTGCAAACTTGACTAACGGCTACAATCTGGCTGACGATGGTCGGAGCTGGGGTGGGTAGCGTTGCCTTGTAACTGAGCCAGATTGGGGTGTGAGACCAGGAAGAGATCTGATTGGTGAACAGCACGGGCTCAATTGTGATTGGTTGTTTGGAATGGATACAGGAAATTAGGGATAGGATAGTAATTCAATGCTGAGTAAACAATCTTTCTGATTAGTCATCATCTAGTTTTATTTCATGACCTCAATCATCCACTCTGACATCCTATATCATCCAAAATGATCCTCAATCATCCCAAATTTTTATCAATTGTCAATCATCTATGTATTCCCATTATAAGGGACGCTGGGCCCAGTTCCCAGCAAA